ATATATATATGTGATATCTATGTGATGCATCTTATGTGGAGCAATACGTGGAGCAGCCACTGTGGCGCAGTCTATCTGGTGCAAACTATGTTGTGTAGTGCATAATGTGTAACCAATATAAGATGTGCATAGTATGTTGTGCAAGCTACGTGGTTCAATGTATGTGATTATATCTAAGTGGGGCAGGTTGTGTGGTGCAATCTATATATATATATATACTAGAACCACGCGCGCGCTTCGCGCGCGCTTAGGTTCTAGCTAGGATCGTCACCGTCGTCATCATGAACATCACCATCGCCATCATTCCCCCCGCCAGGGCTAATGTACATCGTTTCTGGATGCTTCTGGCAGGAATACGAAAGGAGTTTCTGTAGTTAGAGTCTCTGGGGGAAGTCGCGGGGCCCCTCAGGATACGTACGGATGCCTCTGATAATCCCCCAGCGTGCCCCACGAGATGGCCAGAGGGTGCCCGAACAGAACCCGAGGACGTCGACGACGGCGGCCATGAAGACGGCGGCGATCGCGGCGACGAAGGTAGCGGCGGTTGCCATGGGTTAGTACCCAATCAGAGCTTGCCTCTGTAAGGGTCCTGGCGGATTAAAAAATTCGATGAGGTTCGGCAAGATTCCGGCCCCATGCGGCCGGGCCGGGTGCCCGGGTGCCCGGGTGCCCGGTGGCTGGGTGCCTGGGTGCCCGGTGCCCGGGTGCCGGGGTGCCTGGGGGTGCCCTATCGCCCTATAGCCCTGTAGCCCTATTGCCCTATAGTCGTATAGCCCTATAGGACTATAGCCCAATAGCCCTATATCCCTATATCCATCTAGCCCTTTAGCTCTATAGCCCTCTGATCCTATAGCCCTGTAGCCCTATAGCCCCATAGCTCTACAGCCCAACAACCCTATAGCCCAATAGCCGAATAGCCCACATAGCCCTATAGCCCTATGGCCCTAGCCCTATAGTCCTATAGCCCTACAGCCCTATAGCCCTGTAGCCCAATAGCCCTGTAGCCCAAGTCGTTTTCATCCTGAATCGTTTTCTGACGGTCCCGGGAACCTGCGAGGGGCCCCGGAGGCCGAAAATTAACAAAAACCGCCGTCGTGATTTTTCCAAGACGTCGGAGGTCCAAGTCGTGCTTCCCGCCTCCCCAGACCTCCGACGTCGTAATTTGTGCGACCTCGGGCCCAGGAATCGATTGGGAAAACGCACATGGGAAGGCAAGAAATGATGGACCCATCATTTCGTACCTGTGCCTTGATCAGTGGGACGGGCTTCGCACCACCGCACATCACAAGACACGCTCGAGCGGATCCAGCCGTGGCGACGTCGGGGACTGCAGAAGGTCGCAAGGACACAGAATGTGAAAGGAAGAGAGAGAAAGAGAGAAAGAGAGTGAGAGAGAGACAGACAGACAGAGAGCGAAGGAGAGAGAGAGAGAGAGAAAGAGAAAGAGAGATGGAGAGAGAGAGAGAGAGAGAAACGAAAAAAAGACAGAGAGAGAGAGGCAGAGAGAGGAAATGGAGAGGAGGCGAGCTTGAGTCAACGAAAGTCGCAGGGAAGGGGGCAGGGGGAAGAAGGCCAGAGAGCGCTGAAGGATACAAATACTGGAACCCTCTTGGGATTTTTTGGGGGGCCTCGTCCGGCCGCTCGCTGGGAGTTTGACGTAGCTTCTCGGGAGCCTCTGAACCTGTCGGAGGCCTCCTGGAAGCAGGTTCGAAGCATTTTGGGGGCCGATTTGGGGCTTCTCGGGGCCTCCTTTGGGCCTCTTGGGGGTCTCCTGGGGCCTCTTGAGGGGCCTCCTTGGGGCCTCCTGGCGGCCTCTTGGGGCGGAAGGCTCGAGCTTGCGGTTCGTGGTCCCCCTCTGGGCCCCCTCTTGGGCCCGTCTTGGGGCCCTCTTGGGCCATCTTGGGCGCCTCTTGGGCCGTCTTGGGGCCCTCTTGGGCTGTCCTGGGGCCCTCTTGGAAGCTTCTTGGGCCGTCTTGGGGCGGTCTTGGGCGCCTCTTGGGCCGTCCTGTAACGTCGGAAAGCCCAAAAGGCAACTTTGTGAAAAATGTACGTTTTACGAAGGGAATGGGCCAATTTTTGCGTCTAGGGGCCCTCTTGGGGCGCATGTTGGAGGCTTCTTGGGGCGTCTTGGGGGCGTCCTTGGACGTCTGGAGGCCATCTTCAGCATCTTGGAGCCCTCTTGGAGGCCTCTTGGAAGTTGCTTGGGCCGTCTTGGGCGCTTCTTGGACCGTCTTGTCTGACCGGGGAGGCCTCCGGCAAGCCCCGACGAGCCTCCGGGCCCCCCGGAGCCCACATTTGTGGTCGGGGTCCCGGCCCCGGGCCCCCGGACCCGGTGCGCCGTTATGTGTATATATATGTGTATATATATATATATATATATATATATATAGAGAGAGATGGTACCGTATATATAGACACACATGTATGTAGATATGCGTGAACCCAAGTGCATATACGATGTGCAAAACATATTGCGCCTTCTGTGATGAAATATGTGGTACAAGCTCTGTGGAACACGATATGTGATGCAACAGATGTGGTATATTCTAGGTAGTGCAATATACTTGGGGCAACATAGGCTGTGCAACATGTGAGGTTCAATGTATGTATGTACAACATGTGGGGTTGTGTTTTGCAACATGTGGGTTGTACCAAATGTATTTAAACTATGCGTTGTGCAACATATGCTGTACAACATGTGGGGTTCAATTTATGTAATTCAATCTGCGCTTCACTGTAGATGCGGTGCGATATATATATATATATATATATATATATATATGCGGAGCACTATACGGTATGCACTGTATGTGGAACCTATGTGGAACCATTCATGTGATGCAGTCGATGCTGTGCAACAGTCGTGGTGCAATAAGTGTGGTGCAATCTATTCTGCGCCATGTACGTGGTACAGCTTTTGTCGTGCAATCTACGTGGTGCAATCCAACGGCGGCGACGGGCGGTGACGAGGCGGCGACGGGGCGACGAAGACTGCCACATAGCCGCCAGACCGAGGACACGACCCAGACGACGGGCGGCGACGAGGCGGTGACGGGGCGGCGAGGGCCAGCACGGAGCCGCCAGACCGACACACAGGCCCAGTTCCTTAGACCAGAATTAAGAACCCCTAAGTGCGAGCACCGCTTGGGGAATGAGGAAAAGAGATGGAGGAGGAAGAGGAGGAGGAGAAGGACGATCTTCGTTCCACGATGCTTCCCTCTACTGCCGCTACCAATCTCCGTTGTTCGGCCCTTACCGCGAATCGTCGTGGCGCAGCCCTGTCCCCGACCTCACCCAGGCCCTGCCACTCGCACTCCGCCGCCGACAGGCCAACCCTCAACTGGATCGGAAACTCGAAATCGAATCGGCGACATAATTGCCAGCTCGGGAGCCACCGGAAAACTGCGCATCGGATCGGACCAGAATCGGAAACCCAGCAGCCCTTCGGACCAGAACCGGAATCGAACCTGCCGCGCCGGAATCGAAGTCGGAATCGGAATCTCGCGCGACGGCGACGACTGGCCGCGAACCGCACCGAGGACCGAGAACGAGTCCTCGAACCGAATCGGCCGAACCGGACAGGGACAGAGAGCAACATCGGAATCGACCCCCCGCTCTTCCCGAACCCCCGGAGGGGCAGGGTGCTCGAAAACAGCGCCAAGGGCCGAAAACGACCTCCTCCTCCTCCTCCTCCTCCTCCTCCTCCTCCTCCTGCTACTCCCCCTCCTCCGCCTCCGCCTCCTCCTCCTCCGCCTCCTCCGCGCATCCGCCTCCTCCTCCTCCTCCTCCTCCTCCTCCCTCCTCCTCCTCCTCCTCCTCCGCCTCCTCCTGCTCCCTCCTCTCCTCCTCCTCCTCCTCCTCTCCTCCTCCTCCTCCTCCGCCTCCTCCGCCTCCTCTCCTCCGCCTCCGCCTCCTCCTCCTCCTCCTCCTCCTCCTCCTCTTCCTCCTCCTCCTCCTCCTCCTCCTCCTCCTCCTCCTCCCAACCCCTGCGGAATCAAAACCGGAATCGACAAAAATCGGAAACGCCGGATCGAAACTGGAATCGGCATCCGCGCGCCGGATTGGAATCGAAACCGGAAAAGGCCAGAGGAGTCGGATCGGAACTGGAATCGGCAGGGGCGCATCGAAATCGGATCGGATCGGAACCGTGCCTGCGCCGACAGTGCCACCGATTCGGCCCCAGCCCTGGCGAGTGGCCGTGGCTCGGCACTGCCCCCCGCTCGTTCAAGTGTCCTCTCACGAGCGGCGAACGTATCCATTTCCGCGCGCTCGCGGTCTGGATTCCGGGGCGCGTTCCCGCGGATGCGCGGTCGCACGGACACGTTGCGCGCGGGGCACCCGCGAAGAAACGCCCCGTATCCGCGGCATCGCGGCTCACGGGCCCAGCCCGCGAGGCGGCGGATACGGGCATGTTTTTCGACCACCACCCTTCTCCTGGATGTGGAGGAAGCGGCACAAACATACTCCGTGCGGATCTCTTGGATCGACGCTGGGCCCCCTCCCTGGCGCAAGGAGCGCGCCCGGGGCGACGCCGGAGGCCAGCGCCGATCCGAGAAATCCGCGCGGACCTCCGAAAGTGTATGTTCATGCCGTCCTGTTCCCATTCGAATCATCCTGGATCGCTCGGGGCCCACGCGCCGATCCCGCATGGCCACATCGGCAAGCCCTGAGCCCAAAATATCGGCGCACCACTTTCTTGCTTCCGCCAGCCTTCCGCCCGCTAAGCCGCCCCCCGTGGCCCCCGCGTTCAGGGAAACCAATACCGATACCGCTACTCCCCGGACCTCTCCCGGGGTGCGTTCTGACCAGGATTTCGAAACGAATCCGGCGGTGGCGACGAGGGCCTCCCAGGAGACCCAAAAAGGGGAAAACGAGGGGAAGGGTACATAGAGGTATGGGTACCTTTTCCTCCTCCGAGTGTTACTCCCGCTGCTTCCGCCGAGGGCGAGGGTGCGCCAGAGGCGAGGGTTGTCTTGAGCACGCAGTGCTCCTGTCCCGTCCTGCGCCAGCCGTGGGCACACCTTTTTTGTTGCGCCAGCCGTGGGCACACCTGTACCCGCGGCGGCTGGCGCTCCCCCAAGGATGCCACGGCGACGGCACAAGCGAGAACCGACCGAGCCGACGGCGAGACCGAGACCGGCAGGCCACTCGAACGGCAGCCTGGAGGGGCGCGGCGACGCGACCACGGGCACAGCGAAGAGACCGAACCGAACCGACCAAACGAAACTGGCTGCAACGCAGAGGAAGCCGACCGCACCGAGAACATTCTTGGTGACCCTCGTCGCCTGGTCTTCAATGCAAAACTCGGTCACCCCTGAGCTCTCGCCGAGGCGCAGGTGCTGAAAAACATCCCGCCGCACACTGATAGGGGGGACTAGACGGCACCGGTAACGCTGCTCCCCGAACCTCTCCAGGGCCAGGAGTGCGTTCTGGCCAGAACTTCGACGCGCATCCAGCCGTGGCGACGACTGAAGGATAGCGGCATCGGCATCTCACCCTCTTCTGAACATCGGCTGCCCGCTGGCCCCCGAAGCGCCCACCGCCGCCGCCGCCAGGGCGGCGCCGCGGCGAGCGACAAGTGGCGGCCGCGGCGAACACGGCGGCCGGCCAGGGCGCCCGCGGGCAGCGGCCCGCGGCGGGCGGCGGTCCGCGGCGGCCGCGCGGGGCCTCGTCGGTGGGCGCCGCGCTGCTCGGGGCGGCGCGGGCCTCGGACCGCTCGCGGGCTTGCCTGGCGGCGTCCTCGCGAGGCGAAAGGGGCGGGCGGGGCCGTCGAGGGCAGGAGGGCGGAGAGAGACCTGTTTCACCCCACCCCACACCCGTTACGGAGGTGGTGGGGGGGGGCCCCGGGGAGGGGTCAGGGTAACGCGGTCGGGCCCCGCGGACGGCGACAACGACGACGACGACGACGACGACGACGACGACGACGAGGACGACGACCATGGCCGCCTCTGAAGGTCTCCGGCAGTCTCCAGAGGCCTCTGGAGGCGTCTGGAGGCCCTTCGGGGCCCTCGGCGACGACGAGGACGAAGACGAGGACGAGGACGAGGACTAGGACGAGGACGAGAACCAAGACGAGGACGAGGAGGACGAGGACGAAGACGACGACGACAGGGACGAGACGAGAACGGGGACGAGGACGGGAACAACGATGACGACGAGGACGGGGACGGGGACGGGGACGAGGACGAGGACGAGGACGACGACGGTAAAAACGACGACAGTAACAACGACGACGACAACGTCGAATGTCGGCGACAACGACGACGACGACGACGACGACAACGACGATGAAGACGAGCGACGAGGACGACGACGAGGGCGACGACGAAAACCACGAAGCCGACGACGACGAGAGCAAGGACGACGACGACGACGACGAGGACGACGACGACGACGACGACGACGACGACGACGACGACGACGACGACGGCGACGGCGACGACGACGACGACAACGACAACGACAACGACGACGACTAGGGTAACAACGACGACGACGAGAGCAAGGACGACAACAACAACGAACGACAACCGCGACGACGACGACGACCATAACGACAACGACGACGACGACGACAACGACGACGACGACGATGGCCGCCTCTGAGAGCGTCTGCATGCTCTCCTGGTGCCTGTCAGCACCACACCATGCCCGTGAGCACGGCGCCATATATGTGGGGAGGGCCGGGACTCGGGACCCTCCTTAACGGACGTTACAGTGGAGGCCAGTCCACGAGAAACCTTCCACAAGAAACCCAACCCTGAGACCCCAGGACGCCCATTTATTTTTGGTGTGGGAACGTCGCGATCTCCAGGGACGACGACAGGGACGAGACGAGAACGGGGACGAGGACGGGAACAACGATGACGACGAGGACGGGGACGGGGACGGGGACGAGGACGAGGACGAGGACGAGGACGACAACGACGACGACGACGACGACGACGACGGTAACAAAGACGACGACGACGACGGTAACAAAGACGACGACGACGACGAGGACGAGGACGGGGACGACGACGACGACGACGAGGACGGGACGACGACGACGACTACGGTAACAACGACGACAACAGCATCGAATGTCGGCGACAACGACGACGACGACGCCGCCGTCGCCGCCACCGACGACGACGAGCGACGACGACGACGACGACGATGACGACGACGACGAGCAACGAGGACGACGACGAGGGCGACGAAAAAAAACACGACGCCGACGACGACGAGAGCAAGGAAGACGAGGACGACGACGACGAGCAAGGACGACGACGACGACGACGACGACGGCGGCGACGGCGACGACGACGACGACAACGACGACGACAACGACAACGACGACGACTAGGGACGACAACGACGACGACCATGACGACCACGCCGACGACGATGGCCGCCTCTGAGGTCGTCTGAATTGTCTCAAGGTGCCTGCCAGCACCACAACATGCCCGTGAGCACGGCGCCATATATGTGGGGGGGGGGCCAGGACTCGGGACCCCCTCCCCGTACGCTCGTTACCGTTACGAGGGGGGGGAGGGGGGGGACCCCCCCGTAGCTGACGTTACAGTGGAGGCCAGTCCACAAGAAACCTTCCACAAGAAACCCAACCCTGAGACCCCAGGACGCCCATTGATTTTTGGCGTGGGAATGTCGCGATCTCCATCGCAAAACCATGGAAACCCAAGGAACCCTGGGCACCCTGGAGGCAAGCAGGGTGTTCTTTGGCATGGGTCTCCACTGTACGGGTTCAGCGAATAAAAAGCCATCTCGGAGAGGGAGGGCGAGGCCACGTCGCGGGCCCGGCGAGCGCGGAGGTCGGTCGAGCACCTCAGGGCCACTGGACGGCCGGAGGGAGGGGCGGGGGAGGGGAGGGAGGGAGGGGAGGGAGAGAGTGGGGAGGGAGGGGAGGGGATGGGGGGGGTTAGGGGGAGGGAGAGGAGAGGGAGGGAGGTGCGAGCGCCAAACGGGGGTGGGTGGCTCAGAAGCCCTGGCCGCACCCCGGGCCCTCCCGAGCGGTGAGGGTGGGGAGCCATCGGGCTGTCCCCGGGCCGGGACGCAAAGGAAAGACGGAGGGGGGGAGAGGAGGGGAGGGGAGGGGAGAGGAGGAGGTAGGGAGGGAGAAGGGAGGAGAAGGAGGAGGAGGAGGAGGAGGCTTCGAGGAGGAGCGACACACACGAGCGAAGCGAGAGGGAAGTCCAGCCTGGTACAACACCCACTAGGCCATCACCTCTCTGAGCTGAGGGCTGAGCCGCAGCTGCAGGCGGAGGCGGGCTACGAGAAGGAGGAGGAGGAGGAGGAGGAGGAGGAGGCTTCGAGTAGGAGGAGGAGGAGGAAGAGGTGGGGGAGGATCAGGAGGAGGAGGAGAGGGACAGGGAGAAGAGAAGCAGCAGGAGGGACAGAGGGGGCTGGGGAGGAAGGAGGAAGGATGGAGGAGTAGAAGGCGGAGGAGGAAGCGGAGGAGGCCTAGGCTGGGCGGAGGGAAGAGGATTCGGATTCGCGGTGTATTCAGAGCTGGTTGTGGGGGGTCTGCCGTCTCCCCATCCTCTTGCATCTTGCCTCCTGCATTTGACTTATCCATTGCATTAACAAACGTGTGTCGTCGGGAATGTCATTCGCGCCATATGATGTGAAAGGGGACCTGCCAAGACCCACCACCGTCTCTCCTTTCTGATGTCTTGTTCTTGCCCCCTCCCCTCCCCCCCCTATCCTCTTTTTTTTCCGATTGGCAAACATTAGCGAACAGGCTGTTGCCCTCCTCCTCCTCCTTCTTCTCCTCCTCGTCCTCCTCCTCCATCTCGTCCTCCTCCTCCTCCTCCGCCTCCTCCGCCTCAGCTCCTGTTCAATACGAATATATCCTCCCTGTCGCAACTCGAGGCGTGTCGGTAGGGCGGGCCGGGCGTGTCGACTGAGACTTCCTCACCAGCCATGGTCCTCAGCTGATAATTCGCCAGAGCTTCACGGATGGATGGCGGGCCGCTTTCAAAATGTGGCTCTCGCCTTAGCGCCGCACATTCATCTTACAAGTTGGCAGAATTTTCACGGACTGAGGGCTGGCCGCTTTCAAAATGTGGTTTTCGCCTTAGCGCCGCGCCCACTCGTCTTACAAATTCGCAGACAAGCTTCACGGTTGGAGGGCGGGCCGCTTTCAAAATGTGGTTCTCGCCATAGCGCTGCGCAAATTCGTCTTCAAAATGTGCAAGAGTTATAAGCAAGTTCAGAGATTATCATGATTACCGTCCCAGAGATGATGTTTTGGCACGATGCTGCACTGCCAGGGCACAGCAGTTACGCTGATTCGCGGCGTTGAAGTTCCAGGAATAGTGTCCTGGCACGAGTCAAGATCGTCAAAACGCAACAGTACCCGTAATTCGCGACGCTGAAGTTCCAGGCATGGTGTTCTGGCACGGCTCAGGATCTCAAAACGGTTCATTTCCAACGCCGAACTTCCCTCAGCGAAAATGAACCCTTTTGGGCGTCTATGAAGAAGGAACTTGGAGTGAGGGTGTAATGTAACATCGTTGATGAGCCTTGGATTTACATTCCTCCTCCCCCATCCTCCTCCTCCGCCGCCTCCTCCTCCTGGCCCCCTCCTCCTCCTCCTCCTCCGCCGCCTCCTCCTGTTCCTCTTCCTCCCCGCTCCGCCTCCTGCTCCCTCCTACATCCTCCTCCTCCCCTCCTCCGCCTCCTCCCTCCTCCTCCTCCTCCTCCTCCGCCTCCGCCTCCGCCTCCTCCTTCTCCTTCTTCTCCTTCTCCCCCTCCCTCCTCGGCCCATCAGACTCCGAAAACCTGTGCCTCGTCCCTACTCGGACCCCTCGGCCTCCTAGGAGTCCTGGAATTCCTCCCGCGCCCACCCAACCCGCCAGGTGCGGCGTATGGGTCATGCCAGTTGATGGTGCAGATGGCGGATCCCAGCAGCACGCCCAGCAAGAGATAGCCCGCGGCCACCCCCGTGTAGAGGCCCACGAGGTCTCTACGC